ACTTCTCTCAATTGCAGGTGAGGGAGGGGGGGGGGTCATAAACAATGTTTGCAGGTTCCTCAGAAGAATAGTAAATTTTAAGCTGATGAGGCTTTCCTTGGTTTGAAAAAATATTTATTAGCCTATGATGATGATGATATCATTATTCTTTGCATTATTGTTATTATTAATATCAATATTATGGTTCTCATTATCACTATTAATCATTATCATTAATATCATTATTATTATTATTTTTGTTGTTATAATAATGATGATGATGAACTTTATTTTCTTATTATCATTTTTACTATTGAACGTTCTATTTATGAGGAACCTGTACAACTGAAACATTGTATTTCAGTAAGCCGAGGGCAATATAAGATGAGAGAATCGCTTCATTCCTATTTCATAGTTTATATATTTGTTTTATTGATTTTTTTTTTTTTGGGGGGGGGGGGGGATGGGATTAGATCACACTGAGGCATTTGCATTAGAAATACTCGAATAGTATTAAAACAAGATAGGAAAAAATACCGCGGCCTATGACAAGAATTAATGACAATATGGCTTCAATAGCAAAATGAAACAAGAAATATGGCATAGGCCTGATTAGAAAAAAATAAGATCCCTAAATCAAGGAAACTCGCAACAAAGTGACTGTGATTGAAACAAAAGATTCCTCCGTCATAATCTGAGCCCGAGAACTTTGTAGAAGATCTTACATTTTTCATGATGCAATTTAAGCCCCACTGCACTACTTGTAGCTACTTGCTCCTTAATCCTTATATATATCTTATGTTAATTGAGAGCTGAGTTGATGAGATAGGCCTATAACTACCTGTCAGTGCCCATCATGGTGGTATAATCCCTCCTGACCAAACTAGTGCAGACGGGCTTTAATTAATTTCAATTCAATTCGAATCAAAACCCATCGTATAGAACCGAACCAATTTACCGCTGCTAGTATTGCTAAAAACGGCAGATAGAGGGCGTCCACAAAAATCAATTCATTTCGCGCTGAAATACACCGTGCTTTGAGTTGCTGGTATCGGGGGCCCTGGAATGAGCACTGGCGCACAGAAATTTCAACATGCTTATGAGCTTTCGCTTCCTCGTAATGTTAGACGAAGTATGTATTTGGTGCTAATTTCCTCCAATCTCATGCTCGTTAAATTTTAGATTGTTTCTTTAGAAGCTCATCTAATAGACGACATTTGATCATGAGTTTAATTGAATTGAAAGTCTTGAGAATTAATTCGTCACCGCTCGGCTGTATACAAAGAGCACGTGTGATTTGTTTATGATTACGCAACTCATAATTTCATCGTAGATTTTGGCACGGCGCAAACTTTTTTTCTTCAAATATGAATTTTCTTTTCAACATGTGGAAGTTCCCCATTACTACCATTAGTAATAGAAAAATTACAGGAATATTTGAATTTTTGATCAATGTGATTTACATTTCGAAATTCAGCTGAAACCGAAAAAATAACATTTTGTGGGCGCATTTTTAGTAATTGCTAATACGTACTGCGTGTAAGCTTTTCTCGGCTTCGATCAGAGACGCGGTCCACGATAATATTTTTTCTCCTGCAGGCACACGTACGTTTGGAGTGAAGGGGATATATATTGCAGCAAATGTAGTTAGGTTAATCCATTCTTTGTATTGATCTTTTATTTCACCAGTACAGCAATTGTTTTTAAAATACCAACAAGACCCAATTAATTCGCATCGCGATGACGGGGTCACTATTAATGTATAGACGTCGTATGTTGCATGCACCTGCCATGCACGTACTGCTGAGGGGCTTTTTCAGGGCTTGGTCGTAGTCATAGTGTTTCGGCGCGCGAAGAATACACGGTGCCTAGTTTGATAAGAAATAGAAAATTGTAAATTCAAGTTTATGAAGGGGAAATCCGGGCTGTATGATAATGACCCCGGGTAATGACCATCCATTTTCAACGCGTAAAACGTCACCACTCTACGACCTTTCCACGGGACAAGTCGTGCCGCTAACAGTGGTTGAGTAGCCGCGATTGCATGCCGAACTAAAAATTAACTCAGTGCAAACCTCGATCGCGGCCCGCGGTACGGGTGGCCGGACGAAAAAATAAATCTCGATCACGGTATCCACCCATTCATGTGAATGGTCGGCCTGTCGATTAACTTCGGTGTTCGCATTTTCACCTTTGTGGAAAGTCGGGAAAGAAACCATAAAGTTTTCTCCGAAACCAATTTTGGAACATGCATGCCAAACTATGATGGCAATAAATTATCATTCACAGACTTCGATCGGAGCTTGCCGCGATGTGCGTCCAAACAAAATGACCGTAGGGTATGATGAATCGGAGTTAAGCCATGCACTAGTTTCCTAAAAATATATGAGCAAAATAGAAGAGCTCTATAAAACACAATAAAGTATACAACCAAAGAAAATTACACTTTAAAAAGATGTACAGATAAATCTAGCATAATATAGTCAGGTTCGTATTTAGCAAACGGCATTTTACTATAAGAAATACTGATATTGCTATTAAACAAATTATAGGCCTACTATAAGAAAGAATCAGGCTAATACAAAATACATTATTAATTCTATAAACATAATAGTCATAATAGTTAAATTACAAAGTAAAACTTATAATGTTACCATATACTCTTCTCCAGACTGAGGTATAGCGTATATTGGCCTACATGTAGGCTCCTTAGACTAATATGCTACAATGATCAATAGAGTTTCGTAATAATCAAATTTAATGCACACAATACTCAGGAAGGACATCGGCTTGTATTACACAACACGACAATGTCTGCAGTTCGCTTTTTCTTTCTAAGGAGTGGCGTAGCGTCGAAAGGGGCGAGGCAACAGCAGGGCTAGAGCTAGTGACTCTCTATCTTTATTTCTCTCTCTCTCTCTCTATCTCTCTCTCTCTCTCTTTGTTAGTCGTAGTCATTTTCCTTCCTCTTGTTTCCCCTCTCTGTAAACCCGCATAATTGGACTTAGTACCCCCCCCCACCCCCTTTCCGGCCTCTCCCCATGAATGATAGCCAGGCACGTAGCCACGGGGGGGGGGGGGGGGGGGGGGGGTAGTGAGCATATTTTTGTTGGGGGCCCTCGAAAATTTGAAAAATCGCACCCCCCCCCCCCCCTTGAGCGCATGGGGGACCAATGGTCACCGATTAGGCATTGTTTGCTATATAACGGGCGCAACTGTAGCTACACTGTTGCTCATAATTATAGTTGGAATATTTTTGATTTACCCCAATTATTTTATGGAATTACTTTGATAATGATTTATTCCTAATAGATCTAGATAATAGTATACATTCTTAGATGTTATTGAATAATAATTTGCCAGTGTTTGTTTTGCTAGACTGCTAAACCATGTTTATGCTACTATGCTTATAGGGGACCTACGCAGGCGCGTAGCCACGGGGGGGGGGGGCAGGGGGGGGCGACGTGCCCCCCTAAAATTTCCAAGATCGGTTGAACTTTTTTAGACCCCCTTTTTTTTTTACCTCGATCGATTACAATTGTATATGCCCCCCCCCCCAAACATCAGACTCTGGCTACGCGCCTGGACCTACGCCCTGAGGCCGCCATCCTTGTCAAGCTTTGCTTATGATTGCGATCTCCTGCACTTTTCCAACAGAATAGTTGGGATAATACTTTAAATTTATGATAATATGTTATGGAAATATTAATTTTCGTTATTATATGTATATGTAAAGCAACATTTTGACATGAATGTTGTACTATACCTTACATGTATATGTTCTTTGTTATTCAGTTATATTAATTTGGAAAAATGCAGAAATCAAATCAAATCAAAATCCAATTAAGTCATAAATGACAGTAATGAGGATTAATGCCCCACAAAAGGGCACTTATATGGCACATCGACACGGTTTTGATCCTGGGGCCTCACAGTTTAAAGGCCTATTGCTTGGCCACTGAACCATGACTGTACGCAGCCGGGCTAGGGTAGGGGGCAGTTCCCACAAAATTAAAAAAGCGAAGAAAATGCAATAATTTTTCAATAATTCATTGAATCCCCCCCCCCCCGGTCCCCAACAGAAAAAAAAAAATCTTCTGTGTGCTTATGCCACCCAGGCCTCCCCCAGTCAGTGAGGTGCTCAAAAAAGGGCCCAGTACAGTTCCAAATACAAGTTCTCTTTGAGTAAAGCAGAACTGAAAATGACTGAGGAACAGGTCTGTGAAAGTTGAGCAAATTTCGAGCAAATTCCGATCAAAAAGAAGAAAATTTAGAATTTTTGAAGTTCTGCACGACGTATCTTGGGAGCCCCGGCCCTCCCATTCTAACAAATGTCAAAATATTGCTGTATGAATCAAGTTTATTCCGTCATCAACTACACAACGGTACATCAAATTGGGGAGGACCTCGCAAGATAGGCCTATGTCACAGTAAGGTATAATTGCCCATTTGTGTTTGATTGAGTATAGCCTACCCCTTCGAATATTCATATTATATAACTTGTTTTTAATCGTTGGAATTTTCTCAAACTTTCACATATACCTGTTCCTCTTATTTTCCTGCTTCTATGAAAACCAAGTTAATATCTGGATGGACTTCCCCTTCCCTTTTATCCTCAAACGAGGTTTGTATTTCCATAATTTCAATATGTATTCACATTAATTACTCTATGGTTGAGTGAAACATAACATAGGATAAATTAAATTTATTATTATTCATATTATTCATATTATCATTATTTCAGAACATTTACCATTATTATTTTTAATTGTATTATTATTATACTGTATCATCATTATTATATCATCATCCACATCATCATAATCATCTTCACCATCATCATTATCATCATCATTAGTATTGTTACTTATTATCACCCTCGTATTATTTATTATTTAGGAACAGGGGACAGTCGACGAGTTTTACGTCATTGTTCATCAATATCATATCCGCGTTCAGGGGCCCGCGCTAATTGACCCTCCTGTACACTGCACTGTATACGTATTGCACTTGCACTGCATGCAAAAGGAATGTACTGTACAAGTCTATGTAGATCAATATGGCGCGCCTTCGTTTCCCAGGGAGGCCTGGCCACAGATATGGACGATCACTGGTGCGATATCTTCCAGAAAAAGATAGAAATCGTCAGCATGCATTCTTTGCACGTACAGCAGCCATCCAGAGAAATTTGAAGTGGTTTTATGATCTTTTTGGTGACTCTGACGAGGTATATTCATGTAATGTTTTTGTCTATTTTTCGCGTGAAAATCGATGGTTGGTCGTTGTCGTTGTGTATTGTTGAATGAATGAATGAACCTCTGCACTGCAATGCGTTGTGTAGTAGAAATGTACATGCCATTCAATGCATGTAGACCTAGACCTACTCTAATTAAACTGTTACTGGTAGACTAGAATTACCTCTCACTGTATTTTTAATGAATGTCCGGCCTATAATATAGGCTATATTCTATATTTTTCTACAAAACCTGTCATGAGTGAACTAAGAATTAAGAACACGGGAACATGTCAAGACAAGTGTCAACTCAAAATCAAATGAATAATCTAGGTCTAGGCTACATTCAATTCATTTCAGTTTCACATTGTCTTCAATCTTGACTTGCAAAGTTGCAGTTTCATGCTGCATGCAAATCCTCAGATTCAGGATATCGTCAGCTATCTAACTTTGATGATGAAGTGTTGAGACTCGAGTGACAGTGACCATGCATGAATCAAACCTGCACAAAATTACAAATGCAATGAGGTGTTACGTTAGTGTTACTGAATAGATCTACTGTGTTACTGTTAGTGTTATTATTTTTGTCATTGTGAGCAGGAGGAGGGGCGCTGGTCCGAGAATAAGGATCGTCTTTGTAAATGCGGATAGACGCGTACACAAAATAAGGAGCATTGATTCTTATTTCCAATACGCGCGTTGGCGATGCGAAAAACGGATAAAAAACACTAATCCTAAAAAATGACATCATTGAACTGTTCATGGTTTTTTTTTCACAGCAAAAAAGCTCTTTAAAATGAAAAATGTTTACCTAGCTAGTCCTGTATATGGGCGCTGCATGGGCTTAATGATTTTTAAAATATGATATTAAATAATATCACCAAGCCTGACTTTTTGCCTGTGTGGAAAGCTGTGAGAACGATACTACAAATGTGAACGTAATCACACATTCCTGCGCACGACAAACATTGCAAACTACTGTCAGAGTTCGCTGAAGGACTCTTCTTTTCTTTTTTTTTTAGTTACTCGTGCAGTACATTTTAAAATGGATCAAGAATTAAACTGAAATTGTGGAACTGTGTTCCTGATGGATAATGAACTGGGGGTTGTTTCTCCATGACAGTCGTATCTTTGTCCGCGATCTAAAGAGATGTCCAAAAGCAGAAAACCTGTTTCACAAAACCATGATGAGCAACAAATTCAAGATTTTGATACTATCAGCTAAAAGATACAGTTTTTGCCCCAATTAATCCCTCAGATTTTATCCTGAAGTACTGAAGGAGATTTATATGAAGCTTAATTTCACTCAAACTGTTTGAAAAAGTAAAAATCTTTGAGTGGTAGCACAAAGGATGCAAACATCAAATTTGCATGAAAAACATGTCTTACTAATGACATCTCAAGGTTTTTAAAAAGTTGATGGAACTCATGGTTCAAGTTGCTTTGGAATTTGGACAAGTGACTAAAAATTTGAAAGTAAGAGGATACCATGATAACTCATATCCAATTGAAAGAAGACCCTGTCTTTATTTCCACTATGGAAAATAATAAAAACACAATATTTTATGACTCACATTAACAAAATTAATTTATCAAATAGATATGATTTGTGTCAGTGTTATGCTTGAAAAGGGGAACTGTCTAGAGTAATACTACCTACACAAAAATCATCACCATTCTCAATTTCTCATGGGTCTGTAATTGCAGATCTTCAGCGACTTTTCTATGGTAGATTGATGTACAGGTATGTACAAATAGTATTTACATGTACAGTATAGTATTAATGACTGCTTTGAGAGAAATAGTTGTTTTATTACGCTCAAGGGAAGGTTAGAATTGTGCTATTCCCCGAGGCTTGCCGAGGGGAATAGCCCAATTGTAACCTTCCCGAGAGCGTATGAAAACAACTATTTCTCGAATATTAAAGCAGTCATTAATACTTTTATATGCCGAAAAAAAATAGACTAAAAAATAAAAAATAAAAAATACTTTTTTTTTTTGTCGAAGGTGAGAGTCGAACCCTTGCGTATATTGAGTGATCAATATTACACCAACGCCTTACACCACTCGGCCATCGCGTGCTGTTCACATGCTCGCCAGTTTTGTACAACATATACATTAAAATGGATTGAAACCGGCTTCGGCGTGATGAATGCTTCGCAAAAGCACCCTTCTTTTACTTTTGCAATGCATATTGGCACGAACTTAGATCAAGATCTATCGGCAGATGTTGTTTTTTTTGTTTTTGGAAGTTTATTTTCGTCTTCATGTCAACAATGCAAGATAAAATTGTCGGTAAGATCGATCGAGATTCAATTGTATTGAAATTACCGACCAATCCTTCGCACACATACGGTATCCTCGATCGCTCAAACCATTTTTTAACATGTAAACCTATGGGGTAACCATGGAGGCTGACCTATTTTTTTAATAACCATGGTTATTAAAAATATTAAATGTTTTATGCATGGTTACCGGGAATTTTACAGGAACAGTTGAAGTTTATGAATGCAATTCGACCAATCAGATGGCTGGATTACTTAAGTGAGGTATATAATACCTTTTATGTTATTTTTTAGGCATTAAAAACTTACAACAAAAGTTTTTTTTATGCTTGCGTAATGTGTTTATTTTCACACCAATAAGAACTGATCTGTGAAATTAGAGCTTGAAGATCAAGAAATAAGTTTAAAATAAATTTAAAGTTAAAGTTGCCTTGAGATGGCGTTCTAAAGAGATATGACAGGTTTGGAGTCGCTACAAGGAGTTATAGCTACAGTTGTCCCTCGGCAAGGACAGTTTATGAAATACTTAGCATCCAAGTTGAGCGACAGCTCTTGTAGTTATGACAGTTTCAAGAAACGACCCTCAGACATACGATTTACAATTACATGTACATGTACTAGGGCTGTGCACAACAGTGTAATGAGGTACCCGAGTACACTCCCAGGCTCACAGGCGAATACTCGAATATTCGGACGCCATGTTTTTTTATAATTTTTTTGAATTTTTTTGAATTTTTTTGAATTTTTTTAAATTTTTTTGAATTTTTTTGATTTTTTTTGAATTTTTGGATTTTTGGATTTTTTTCCTTTTTTTTCTTTTTTGCGACTACCATACCACTCGGCAGTTTCTCAGGTCCCTCGCTGAAAACGCATGCAACTTTACTTTGAGTTGCAGTTGAAGGCGCCGATTTAATAAGAATAATAACAGTAAACAATGCTGTTTTAAAAACCAAAGATGGCAGAATAATCCATTTTCCTCCAAGTCCAAACAGAAATCTGGACATTTGGTCCCAGTTTCTGAAAGGTGAGTTTGACAGTGCTTGAGTTGGGAAACATTTTTACCGACGGTACCATGCCAGCGGACGCCGCTCTCCCTGGCACGGGTAAGCGTGGGCCTGGACATTTTTTTTTTTTTTTCGGCCGAATATTCGGGTACAAGAAATCGTACCCGAGTAGTTGTCAACCGTGCGGGTACTCGAGCAATCGACTACCCGTCGCAGCCATGCCGAGGGCTCATGATTTTAATCATGCTGACTTTCCGACAATAGTCATTTGTAGTGTTTTTCAATTAAGAGACACTTAAAGTTCAAGCAAATGCCATTTTATGCTAATCGGTAATTATATTTCGTACATTGGATCCTTATTTGCTTATCCGGCCATGTTCACCTCCTCCCCTCCTCCCCTCCTCCTCTCCTCCTCCCCTCCTCCCCTCCTCCTCTCCTCCTCCCCTCCTCCCCTCCTCTCCTCCTCTCCTCCCCTCTCCTCCCCTCTCCTCCCCTCTCCTCCCCTCTCCTCCCCCTTCTCCCCCTCTCCTCCCGCTCCTCCCCTCCCCTTCTCCTCACCCTCCTCCCCCTTCTCCTCCTTCTCCCCCTTCTCCCCCTTCTCCCCCTTCTCCTCCTTCTCCCCCTTCTCCTCCCCCCTCCTCCCCCTTCTCCTCCTTCTCCCCCTTCTCCTCCCCCTTCTCCCCCTTCTCCTCCTTCTCTCCCTTCTCCCCCTTCTCCCCTCCTCCTCACCCTCCTCCCCTATCAACAAATAGACCTTCCTGCATGACTGTAGCTGAATTAAAGGCTGTTTCACTTCCAGAACAAAGGGTCAAGAATGATGTAAGAAGGAACAGGATTGTATCAGGATACAAAACAGGATGCAATCCACTAGTGTACTCTCTATGTGCTGTTTAAGAATAGGGGTGGCCAGAGTTGCATAGAGCTACAGGGTGTGTCAGAAAAAAATAAACGCAGGATATTATTGCGCCATTAATGTAATATAATTCTTAGCTTTTTGATATATAGACCCAGGATACAAATGTTGCAACCGCTACAGGGCGAGTCAGAAAAAAATGTTTTAAAAGGGAGCTGTAAAAAATCAGCAAAAGGAGTAATCATATATCTACTTTACGAATCGTTTTCAGTTTTTTCACTGAATTGCAGAAGAAGAATAAAAAAACATTGGCCTACATGTACATGTAGGGTTGGTGAGAGAAGTAACTACAAAGAAATGAAATAGAAGAGAGATAGAGAGTTAAAATATTTCAGACTTCCCTATCCAGATAAAGAGCCATCAACATGAATATTGTGTTATTTTTAATTTGAATCGGATGAATGAGGATATGACGTTATCAGTGCTTTGTGAAAACTTGAGAAGTCCTGCATGTACATTGTTTAATATAAAGTACAGACCAATTATATAGATTGACTGCTACTGTCAAGTGTCAACCAACCAGGGAAAGCTACTTTTAAAAGAATGCCTTTCAGGGTTATTTCAGAAATATCAAATATTGCAACTCCTATTTCTAAACATGTACAATTTGATAAATGTGTTTTTTTTTCTGACACACACTATACTAATATGCTACTTGATTTTAATACTTGGCATATGCTCAGTACAACATTTTATTGCATGCTGTTAGGGAGCCTCTTCATTTCCTGATTAAAGACCAATTCAGGATAGGAGTATTTAAAGGTCTAATTTGATCAGCATTTCTTCTTCAAAAAACCTTTTTCTTTTTTACCTTTGTGTATTTCTTTTCTTTTGCATCAAAAAGGGTGTTGATGCTGATGACTCAGGAAAAAAATTATAAATCTTAAAGTTTGTATTGTACATGCAGGTTATGATGTAGAAAGTTCTTTGTTAACAAGATGTTAGAGATTTATCTGAGGTACAGTACATGAACAAACTTTTCATGATTTTTGAGATTATACATTGTGTCTCGAAATGCTGAAACAACTCTATGCTGTAAGATTAGTTAACAAAAAAGTAATGCATGATGTCATGAAGTCTGTCTTGGAAGAAAATGGTCGCTCAGTGTTTTTGTTGGTACATGTATGTGTTGTGGTTTTGTAGACGCTCCTTCTCTTTTGTGGTTTAGTTTGTTCAAGAGCCCCACAAGATGTAAACGAGAATAGTATGTTCTAGCACTATTTTATAATACCAGGCAAAATCATCAAAAAGTGAGGGTTGGTCTTGGATGTACTGTACTACCAGCTTTCCACCTTTGACAATTACCAAGACTTACATATTAACATAATGTATGCGAAAAATAAAGTTCACTAATTTTACATTTCTAAAATTATTTCCCATGTACAGGAAGATGATTTCCAAGGCTTCTCAACCTCGGAGATCGGTGAATTGCCGTCACCCCTTAGGCGCAAGAAATGGACGAAGAAGGAGGACCCGTCGCTTTCACCCAAGATCAAGAATGTCAAAGCCGCCTGGCCCATCATGGGAAGGAGAGCGGGAAGAGAGATTCACTACACCAGAGGCGATTCCTGCGCAGAGATGAAGAGAGGAGAGTGGAACACGTCCAAACCATACAGGACAAAGCAGTCAAGGGTCGCTGAAGGAAGAATACAGAAGCTGAAGCAGGGAAAGAATGGCAGCTTGGGTGTCGGCAATCGCGAAAAGCGGTCAGTCGGTCGGCTGTCATACAGGGACATGGTTAAAGGTTTGGATATCGTCCGACCAAAGCTTATTCCTCCAAAGCCACCGAAGATCAAGGAACCGACAGCCGCTTTTACAAAGGTGGGAGGAAAGACCACAGGAAAGATCCGTTTGCCGTTCATGATGCCAAAGCAGAAAGCGGGAGCGGCAAAGACGACAAATCCTACAAAATTCAAGATAAAACTTCTTGGTGATGGGAAGCAAGCTCAGATTGTTAAAGGACGTGGAAGCCCAAGGAAGGACACAGGGGTGCCGTGGGGTAAGGCCAAGCTAGAAAAGGCACAGCTGTTACTCAAGAAAGCAAGAGGCAAGAAATCTGAATCGTCACCCATGAAATTTAAGCCATGGGGAAGGAAGAAACTGTTGATGGCTGAAGCTCAAAATGGAACATTGGACAAGGGAGGGAAAGTGATCTGTGTGCCAAAATCCAAACAAGTCAATGTGTCAAAAGCCATGGAGCTGGTGAAAAAGGCAAAAGGTGCTCAGAGGAAGGATCAAGAGGTCTTTGGCTCAGATACGCCTGGTAAGAGATCAGTCAAGTGTTCTAGCAAGCTGGCTGATATGGACATGAAAGGGGTCGACCTTCAGTTCCTGCATCGGAAGGTCACTCCTCCAGCCAAAAAAGGGACTCTCTCTAAACAAGCTGGTTTGAAATCTAAGAAAAAACTGAAGTTAGATGGCAAACTTGAGCCTAAGACGCCTAAACCTTTGAAGCCCAGCTTTGGCTTCATCATGCCTGTTGTGAGCTCCCGTTCGTTGCGGGTAATCAAGCCAACAAAAAGGTTTATTGAGCAAGAAGAGTTTGGTTCCAGTCTGTTAACATCACCGTCGGGCCAGGACTCCGGTGACTGGTCTGATATTCCTTCAGATTTAGATGGTTCGTTCTTAACCACTGGAAGCCTACAGGCAACGGAGAATGACGATATCAAGAAACCCTCAAAGCCACCCCAATCAGATCATACTGAACTGTCAATGAAAGGCACTAAGAAGAAGAAAGCCAAACACAAGGATAAGAAAGAAAAGAAACACACTGCTTTTCAAGATGAATTTTCGAAATCAATTAAGAAAAAGAAATCCTCTCGGAAAAGAAAAACTAAGGTGAAGTCTGAAAATGAAACTGATAAAGAATACAGCCCACAGTCAGAAGAAAAGAAATGTAGGGAGGACAAACGGTTGTTGGCAATGATCAACGCAAAGATCAAGAATGGGACAGCCCTTACTGAATCTCAGGAGGAAACATTATTAGGCACAACTGAAGCCAAGTGGCAACCCTTGAGAGCCGTTTACAAGAAGGTTGTAAAGAAGGACACATTAAATGAAGAAGAATCTGCAGCTTTGAGGACATCTCCTCTGGTATTGTTCCAGACCTTGAGGAATGGGGAGGAGCTCATGCACATCCGAGGCAGAATCGACGGATGTGCCACTGTTGGTGAAATATTGGAGAAGACCAAGACTGGAATGGATCTTACTCCGGGGGAGAAGGAAAAGATGGATCGTTACCGGAGAATCACTTCGGAGAGGCAGGCAATACTTCGGTCAAAGCAAAGAGCTGAGAGGTTGCTGAAGGAAGGTGAAGCTGGCGATGGTGCCCCTGTTAATCCAAATAGCATGAGCCCTAGGGCAGATGGAAGTCCAAAGGTGAATGCAACCAGCTCAAGTCCTCGGGCAAAGAAGAAGCCAGAGCTGACTGAAGAAGAGAAAGCCAAACTGTTGGAACAGGAACGTGAGCGGCTGATGAAGAAGTTCTTGGAGGAGAAGGAGAATTACGTCAAGACAGTCACAGAGCATAGAGAGGCAGCTCCAGCTGACGGACTACCATCAATGAGGGCGCTGTATAGAAAGGCGAAGGAGGGATTAGAGCTCACTCCTGATGAGATAGAAAGGATGAAGAAGGGAAAAATTATCACTAACAGGAGATGCAGACTCCGTAACTTGAAGAAAATGCTCCAAAAGGTTTACAAGGGTTCCGGGAAAGAGAAAGAAGTTGCAATGCTTGACGATCAGGAACCTGATGGTCAGGAACCCGATGGCCAGGAACCCGATGACCAGGAACCCGAAGGCCTAGCCCTGTCAGGAGACAGTCTTGGACTCTCTCCCAACTCCCGCCGATTACTTGCCTTAGGATCAGAGCTGTATGAAAGGAACAGTAAAATTAAGAAGAAAAAAAAGAAAAAGAAGAATATTCTGGACAACACATTATCTGTAGGATTAGGTAGCATCATGCCAATGTCAAAAGTTGAACGTATGAAGTGGAAAAAGAAAAAGAAAAAGAAGAAAGCCAAGGGAGGCATGACCAAGGAAGAAATCAAATTGCGGAAGAAGAATGCCTCATCCAAGCTGCTTTTGAAGGCGAAGCAACGCAAGCAGAAAGGGAAGGGGATGAAATTGAAAAAATCTGCGGCAAGGAAGCTGAAACTTGGAGCTGTCTTGGAAGACGAGATGGACAGCCTGTCCAGGATGAAGAGCCTTCTACATGATAAACTTCTCAGCCCTGCAGACAAGACTTTACAAGATACAGGTGAGTCACACCTCTTTCACTTCAGTTAGTCCAACCCACAAGTTTTTGGTAAAATGCATTTCTCAGGATTGCCAGTTTTGAGGCAACAGCCTGAATTAAGCCCCTGGCAAGTTATTTTCATATTTTCATTCTAGGTGATTTTCAGGCCCTCTGATCAATTCGATTTCGCATCCCTGATTTCTTTGTAGTTGTAAAGCACTTTGAATGTAATAAGTACAAGGATCACTTAGGCAATAATTTACCACTTTCAAAAGATTAGGACAGCGTTTCACAAAACAATCGTAAGTACAAGTTCGCTGATAACACATTGCATCAAGTTTATTAAATTTAACACATGTTTCAATGGGATGTTGGTGAACTTGGACTTGTACAGTTTCGTGAAACGATGCCCTGTTGAGCCAAAAGGCACGATTGTCCATGTTCTATAACAAAATATATAGGTCAGCTTCAGTAAGTGCTGCTGGTTTTGAGGAATACATACTGATATCAAACTTAGACAGGTAAAGTCCAATCTGTCTATGGAATGAAAACAGAAAAATGAAGTGGTCACCTTTCGTGACAGGTTCTGCAAAACTTGTTTTCTGCTAGAGCAAATCAGAAGTCACTTTAAGTTCATATCTATCTATATATCAAGGTATGTTCTGTCAGCTTGGAGGTCGTTTCCCACACATCAACATGTTCTCTGCCATTTTGGTACACTCTTCAGTGTCATTCCACTCCATGTCTAAATGCTCCCCTCCTAGTTAGCTCTTGGGGGTTTCCCTTTAGATCTGGAACCTTCTCCTTTTCTTCCAATAAATCTTTCAAGAGGGTCTGAAGTCTTTTAATGTGGCTAAGTATTTTGCCTTTCTTTCTTTAACCATTCCTATCAGGATATTTTGTTTTAGCCCTGTCATATGCAGTATTTGTAAGTTACTAACCCAGGCAAATTTTTTCTCCATAGAGTGGTGAATGTTTTCACTTTTGCTCCCCCCCCCCCCTCTTCCATAGAAATGATAAAACCCTTAACAATGGTTTTTGTGTGTTTCTGTTTTGTAGTGTCTCGTCAGATGGCTGATGCTTTGGAAGCAGATATGTCTCCTGATCAGACGGAAGCATCCAACGCCAATGTACACCAGGTGGGACTAAAGATATCCAAATTATATTCCTTGATGAATTCAATTCAATTCAATTCAGTATTTATTCAATTCCATAATAAAAACAGTAAGATCAACATACTGTGATTATAAAAGAAATATTACATAATTATACATAATTATTATTAAAATAGTAAAATATTGACAGTAAAAAAAATAGGAATTCAGTTGCTGTATAAAAACCCTAGTGGGTTTGTCTGGACAGCCACCATAAACAGTAAACAGTAACAGTAAATCATCCCTTTGAGGCTTGTTCAAAATGCGTCAAGGTAGAAATGAATGGCAGCTGCATAGGACTTGCGTGTAATGTATTCACTCAGTTCTGTGTTATGTGATCCAGAACTGAAGCCTAATACATTACATCATCATTTTAAAGAAATGCTGCGGTTTTCCCGCGTTTTATCTGAACGAGCCTTGAGAATAATAAAAAGGTGTTGAATATGTGTTTGTGGATAAGAGTTAATGCACTCTAGGCTCACAGAAGAAAAGTAATTCATAGGATCGCATGCTTTCTGTTGTGATACCACTGAATAGCTTTTGATTCTGTTGGTCGGATATATTTTTTTATATAGATTTGGGTGCAAAGGTTCATATTTTTCAAAAAAAAAGTAATTGTTTATGGTATACTGGCTTGGCAATCATTTAGTCTACATAAATTGAAATTAAACAAAAATCTACCCCGGGTATTTGTAAATAATACCTGTTTACTTTGGCATCAGTTCATAGAACATAAGTGAAGACATTTTTTTTAGGGGGAAGGGGAAGGGGGGGGGGAGATAATGTCATCATTAATAATTGACACATCCATTTGAAAGGTACAGTAGGTTGTTATTGAGTAATGTAAAGAATTATCTTGGTTTTCATTTAGTCCCTTTTGCCTTCTCTCTATTTCAGGTTGCCAATGAAGTCACCGTGGGGAGTGTTGCTGTGTCGGGTGGACCTCGCATCAAGCATGTCTGCAGGAGACAATCCGTGGCCCTGGGCTACTCACCAGCCCGCTACGAAGGACAGGGGCCCACCAGCCATGATAGCCTCAAACTGAGTGCTCTGCCGTTCAAGGAGAGGAAGAAGCTCTTCACGAGTGATGGTGAGTCTGTCCTTAGGTCAAAGGTCAATACTGACCATTCAAGCGGTGTAAATGTTCTATAAAATAGCCACAACTTATCTCACTTCCTTGTATCAGGCCTGATAATTACCTGATTTAAATCAGTTTCCTGAATGATTTTTTTCCAGATTTTTTTTCTTCTTCCTGGTTTTCCTGATTTTACCCCTATTTTTTTCCAATTTTCTTACTCGTAAGGGGGGAATGTTGTTAGATGCCATTTTTTCTCTCCAAAATTTGTTTCTTTTTCCTCTTTTTTTAGTCAAAAGGGGGGGGGAGGTGGTTTAATGCTCACTATCACCCCTGTTTGTATACAAAGTTACCTAATGAACTTTATGTTAAGTACATGTATCATGAATTTATGCACTATGACTGAACACTTGCTACATAAAATGTTATCTGTAGATGACAACAGTGACACTGAAACTGGGTCAGAGGGTGATCTCTATGGCAACGAAACATCGCCCCGACTCTCCACCCGAAAGCGGAAGCCGACGGCCAAGAAGCGTGCCATGGAGGGGTTCCTCACAATGGACGAGGAGGCCAATTATCTGGAGAAGAATTATTCAGACTTTGCTACCAAGAAAGAGGCAAAAAAAGTCTTGAAGCTCAAGAAAGCCTTGCAGCAGAAGTCTGAGATGGCTTCGATGTCGACGCCCTGGTCGTCGATGCCCGAAGGAGATGAGGAGCTTAATGTGAAAAGGAGGTCGAGGTGCGGACAGTGCTCAGCCTGCTTGCGCAAATACGATTGCAAGAAATGTGCAAACTGTCTGTGAGTATTTTATGTTTTACTTGGTGGGATATGGTGTGAAGCAATTAGACATTATCTCTGTAGTATTTCCTTAACCATCATCATATTTCCGCCACTGCCACCAGTATTATCACCAACAGAAACCGTGGCCATTCTGAGAACTATTATCACCACCACTACCACCACCATCATCACCAACACTATCAACAATTCCATAATCACCATCATCATGATCATCGTTATTATCATCTTGCAGCATTAACTTCTTCATCACCACCATCATCATCATCGTCATCGCAACCATCATTATTATGATCACCATCATCCTCATCTTTATCACCATCTTCATCACTCCCACCACCATCATCATCACTCCCACCACCACCATCATCACTCCCACCACCATCATCATCACTCCCACCACCACCATCATCACTCCCACCACCATCATCATCACTCCCACCACCATCATCATCACTCCCACCACCACCATCATCACTCCCACCACCACCATCATCACTCCCACCACCACCATCATCACTCCCACCACCACCATCATCACTCCCACCACCATCATCATCACTCCCACCACCATCATCATCACTCCCACCACCACCATCATCACTCCCACCACCATCATCATCACTCCCACCACCATCATCATCACTCCCACCACCATCATCATCACTCCCACCACCATCATCATCACTCCCACCACCACCATCATCACTCCCACCACCATCATCATCACTCCCACCACCATCATCATCACTCCCACCACTATCATCATCACTCCCACCACCACCATCATCACTCCCACCACCATCATCATCACTCCCACCACCACCATCATCATCACTCCCACCACCATCATCATCACTCCCACCACCACCATCATCACTCCCACCACCATCATCATTACTCCCACTACCATCATCATTACTCCCACCACCATCATCATTATTACCAGCACCACCATCATCACTCCCACCACCATCATCATTACTCCCACTACCATCATCATTACTCCCACCACCATCATCATTATTACCAGCACCACCATCATCACTCCCACCACCATCATCATTATTACCATCATCACCATCATCATCATTGTTAGCACCTTCACCATCATCATCATCACCATTTACCAAGATTACCATCAAAGCTCTACCACCACCACCACCACCAAAATCATCACCATCATCATCAACATCTGTATTACCAACATCACCATCATCATCATTACCACCTCTATCATATATCGGCACCACTACTATCATCACCTTCTGTGACCACCCCTATTGTATCAATCTCTCACATGTAGTAGGCCTTCAGGATTCTTTATGTAATTGTGTTTCTTAGTCACAAAAATTAAGATAATATTTAATGATCATGGAAAGTAATTTTCCTTTTTATTCCATCATACCTGTTTTGGTGAATTGCCGTTTTTCTGCTATGCACATGTTCTAATAATAATTTTGTCTTCTAATTTTCTTATCATTTCATGTAATGACCGTTTAGGCAAATTCCCAGTTTGTCTAATTAAAGCCTATTTCGTTTACCTTGATTATTTTTATGATTCATGATTAAATGATTATCAGACCATACAGATAGTAGACTGGCTGGGTGTAGACCATATTGGAATAGATAACTTGGGTATTAAACAAATTGATTTACTCTGATTGACCATTACCTTAACTTCAAGTCATGTCAGGCATGCAGTGCTCATTCAGCTAAGAATAACCATTTCATCTGTGTATGTGTTTTTTTTTCAGGGACAAGCCCAAGTATGGTGGTCGCGGTACCAAGAAGCAAGCGTGCATGTAAGTTGATCCCTTGGAATTTTTTGCCTTCAAGCTATTAATTTTTTTTACCCTAGATTCCTCTCTTTTTTTGAAAACTTCTTTGTGACAATCATCCAAATAAACTTTATTCCTAATTTTACCATGAGAAATTCCTGATTTTGCTGTGAAAGGTTGGCAGTCATGATTTTAAATTCATTTGAAATTGATGTCTTCACCCTTCGTCTTTTGTCGTCAAAACATTGTAAATGTCACAACCTGGGACCCGTTTCACAAAGCTTTTTTTCAATGACAATTGACAAAAATAAAAAAACAAAAACAATCAGAAGCAAGCATTTCGCTAGCTTATAACAGAAACTATCATTTTTCACTGATGACAAGTTTTGTGAAATAGGGCCCAGGTCATGACGAAGAAAGGTTGGCAATCATGCTTTAAAGGGATTGGGTAACTTTGTCTCCAATTCTGAAACAAAATCCTGGATTTAGTTCATGCTGCAATCGTAATTATAAACGTTTAGGTCAGTCAGGAACCCCATGACTTTTACAAGCCGATCGCCTGTCTGATTATCAAGATATTTATGATTGGAAATCAAAATTCAAAAATTTGTTTTCCAAACGGTTTTTATGACACTACAGTCTAGATTGGGAAAAATGAGTATGGTAAAACTGGTCACTTAAGACTTTTACTTTTTTGAGGCACTTCATAATCATTTTGAAGCGCAATTTTTTAGGGCTTCAATATTACACCATATCACAGACACTGATAACAAGTAGGGCCATGCATCTCAGATTTAACATTGTTAAACGATGCCTTTAACATTTATTTTGAAATTCATGTCCCCACCTTTCATCTTTTTGTCTTCAGACATCGTAAATGTCACAATCTGGTCAAGATGAAGATGTGGAGGTTGAAGCAGATGAAAGCCAAGAAACTCCTGGCTGTCCCAGAGCAAGCACAAAAGGGTAAGTTTCAAACATTAGAGAGTTGTTTCAACTGTACCGGAGTGTTGGCTCAGTCAGTAGAGCGTCCGCCTCACAACCGGGAGGTCGTGGGTTTGAACCCCGGCCGTGTCATACCAAAAGACGTTAAAAGATGGGAGTTGTTGCTACCTTGTTTGGCGTTCAACAATAAGGGATAGAGCAACGTCGATCTGGTGCTGCTCAGTGGCTGCCGGGCTCACGATCAATTGGGCAAAAAGAATATCCGTTTGGGTTTAATAAAATTCGGAGTGGACTATTAGGCTATTATTATTATTATTATTATTATACCTATCTTCTTCTTCTTGTACTTACTCCGTTGGCTTTGGAGATCGGCGGTATACCGCTGCAAGGGTCTGGTCTGATCATTCAAACCGGTAATGGGGGTATAGTGATAGGTGAATTTTGTTCTTTTTCACTTCAGTTTTGAAAAATGCTATTTATTAGTTGAGTTCATGAGGAGAAATAACAATTATTGGATCAGTTGTAAATTCAACATTGTTTCAGTTATATGATCTTTGAAGGGGACTGGTAATTTTATTTTCAAAACTTAAAGGGGAAAATATGTATCATGTAAAAAATTGATTTAATGATTTTTAACAGAACTTATGTATATGAAAGTCTGCATTGAATTCACTGATCAAACTAGTCTATTTTGAAATATCTTGAAATTAATTAAAAAGTGTATTCCATCTAGAGATGGCCTGCATCACATTCAACTGTGATAACAATGTTCTTGTTGCTTTATAGCTCCGTCTGTTCCTAGACCTGCTGGGGCCAGGATAAAGAGAGCTGGAGGGGACGTGCTGGATGAACTAGCCCTGGTCCCGAGCAATAAGAAGGGCCAAGCGGGGGTAAGCTAGACCTTACTACGCTCTCTGTCTGTCTGTCTCTCTCTTTCTCTGTGTCTCTGTATGTCTCTCTGTCTCTCTCTCTGTCTCTGTCTGTCTCTCTCTCTCTCTGCCTCTCTCCCTCTCTCTGTCTCTCTTTCTCTGTCTCTTGCAAAAAAGTTGTCACAAAATTTGTATAAGCATCCCAGATTCACAAAACACTAATTTTGCATATTTATTTGTGTATTTTTCAGTAGTACTTTTGGGCAAAAAATTGGAATTGAAATTGAAACTAAGTATTTATTTTGCATTTAGAAATCAATTTTTTTACTGCCATAAATTTGCACACAAATTTATATAGAGATGCAACTAAACTCCTGAAAATGTCAATTTATACATATTCGTCATTGTATTCATTAAATACAGTCATTAAAAATGGTTTGGAAACAGTATGAGGAAAAAGCGTACACATCGTTATTATTTCACATGAAAAATGTATGAAGTGTTCAAATACGGTTAAAATTTGAAATAACAAATAAATTAAGAATTGAAAATGCCTTTTGCTTGCATGATAAGGGTGAGAAGACTGATGCGAACTCCAAGTCGCTGAGGACTGTCAAGTTTTCTAAGAAGATCCGTGGTAAACATTTCATCAAGACTGACTTTAAGGTGAGTACAAAATACATACATATTGATATTTATATAACGCCTTTATATAAACATGCTCAAAGCGCTTTACATTGCTCTCCAAGTGTGGAGAGCCTCTAGACAGAATTTTTAAATTCTTTTAGGTAATCCTCAGGCATTGGCTGGTGCTAAATATCATTATGTTTACAGTATGTTCTAACATTTGTTAACCTTGTGATGTTTTGTATATTATCATCTTGCCTGGAAATAAAATAAATAAATAAATAAATAGGTGCATACACTGTAAATTTGTTTTGTAAAGCTGTATAAAGTAATTCAAAAAAGTTGTGCACCTCATGCAGTTGAAGTTGAGACTATCATTTCAGGCTGCAGCTATCTGAATTTGAACAGATGCAAGAACCTTGGGACCAAATTTCTTTAATCTCTTAGTCTGGATCTATTTACTGTCATATCACACCTGGAGGGTGTTTCACAAAGCCTTTTTTCAATGACAAGTGACAAAATTCAGTGACAAATCTGCTGATAACCAATCAGAAGCAAGGATTTCACTAGCTTATTACAAAAACTGTCATTTGTCACTGATGACAAATTTTGTGAAACACCCACCTGAACTTGAATGAATATTTATGATCTAGGTGGAGGTTTGACCAGATTTTCTGAAATGAACTGTTTGATTTTGTCTTCTTTGACACTTTATGGAAGCGAGTTCACCATAAACCAAGTTTCTGAAATCGTTTCAACTATATGAATTTAAGTGCAGGTTAGTTTTAAAAATTTCACAAATTTGTCCTCAAATTACCGGTTACATTTACTCATTTATGATAGCCAGATTGCCTTTAAAGCCAGCCAAGCACAATGTGATGTTCTAGATGGGAAGTTCTTCCAATATATATTTTTCTTCTTCAGAATGCTTCTCATGAGATTCTTTTCCTTCCTTGTACCTTCTCTTTCAATGAGATTATATAATAGATCAGGGGAGTGTTTCACAAAGACTAAGATCGACTTTAAGTTGGACTTAACTATGGCAGGCCGTTCATGCCACTGTTTGCTCTCACCGTTTGCTGGCATGTGTCTCTCAAGGGATGTACAAAGCGTGGTCACAAATCTACAGAATTTATGTTTTTTGATAGTTCATTATTGAAGGAAAAACATTATCTAAACATCATAATTGAGAGACCATAGTTAAGTCCAACTTAAAGTCGATCTTAGTCTTTCTGAAACACCCCCTTGGGCCCTGTCTTACAAAGAGTTGTGATCAATCGCAAGTCCTCCAATCAATCGCAAGTTTGCAATCTATCTCTTACAAAATAAGTTGTGATATATTAACTCTTTAAAAGAAATTTGGATTACCAAAGTAGCCATTCTTCTTTCTTCTTTCATTTTACAGGATGACTATGATATGTCTGTTGCATGGAAACGTGGAATGGTGATCATTTCTTCAGACCCTATGATACCCAGGACTATATGCTATCTATGTGGCAGCAATGGCAAACATGAGGTAATGCACCACTCTCATGATATGTTTTGCTTCATGAAAAAGACAGAGTAGGCATTATTTGTAACAAGAGGGGGAGGAAGGGGTGCTGCTGTGTTGGAAATAGTTTTACGACACATGCACAGGGGACAACTGCTGCACTATAACTTGTTTTAGATTGTTACTGAATTTGAACTTCAATGCTGGAACTGACAGTTCACCTAATCCTAGATCCAACCTAAAACCAATTTCAACACAAGCCTTAACCCTGTATCTTGGACTAAATGAATCCTTTAGCAGAATGTCACAGAAAAAATGGGGGAAATGGGGAAAAAAATAATCAGTTGTTTAAGACTTTGAAGTAAACCGAGCAAACCAATGCACAGCTGATTTTTCAGAAAGGGAAATTAGTTGATAGATGTTGTATCCTAACAGTTTGAAGGGTATCATCTAGGGAGAGAGAGAAAGAGAAAGCGATAGATACATTCATAGATGGAAAGATACCTAGGTAGGTAGGTATAAAGATTGATATATACATATAAGTATGTACATGGATAAATTGATAAGTATATATGTTGCCTCACCACATTCTATTTTTGCCCATGAAGCTGGTGTATTGCAACGTTTGCTGCGAGCCTTTCCATGACTTCTGCCTGGAAGAGGATGAACGCCCTCTCCCTGACGAAAAGGAGAACTGGTGCTGTAGGAACTGTCGGTTCTGTCACGTCTGTGATCACCAAGATAAGGTAAAAACAAGGTCTAAAAAGAAAAAGAAATTCTGATGGAGTCATCAAATATTCTTACATTTGTTGTTGTTGCATTCTTCTTATAGGAGCGTCCCAGAATGATGTCATGCAAAAAGTGCGGAGCCTGATTGTTTAGTCATGGACGAACATCAGATAAATGTTGACATCTGACAAACACTTGTGACAGTATCAATACAGACTAAAACAGGGATCTGGGACACATGTCTTACAGCCTTTTTTCAGTGACAAAAGCAGTGACAAATCTGCTGATAACCAATGATCAGAAGCAAGAATTTCACTAGCTTATAACAAAAACTGTCATTTGGAAATGGGGCCCAGATATTAAAACGTTAATGCAAGTTAAATATCATGTAAGTTTTATTCTTTGTTCCTACTTCACAGGAAATTATAGCTGGGATAGGTATTTCAGGGAGCTTGAAGCTTGATTTTAGCCAGTTTATCTACATGGTGCTCAAATTATCAGCCCTGGGGGTGTTTCATAAAGCTATTCGTAAATTACGCATGACTTTACGAATGACTTGAATATGGAAAGCCACATGGGATGCTCAATCATTTTTAATTGCATCAGCTAAAGTTGAACTGTGCAGATGTAGATTAACGTTCTTATTATAACAAACATTTTTTAATGCAAAGTATATATTTTGCCATCATTTAATTGAGGTTATTGGAAATATAGTCACATTTTGTTAAAACATCTGGAAAAACTTTGGGCATCCTATCTGGCACTTCATATTCAAGTCGTTCGTAAAGTCATGCGTAACTTACGAACAGCTTTATGAAACACCCCCCTGATGTGAGATTAATGATTGCTTTGTTTTGTTTTTGCAGCTGTTGACTTGTCATAAGTGTCACTGTAGCTATCATGCAGAGTGTCTTGGTCCTAACTACCCAACAAAACCATCCAAGAAGAGGAAAATATGGGTGAGTAGAGCTTATATTCATTATACTAGTATTTCAAACATAAAGAGCCGGTTTTGGGGTGTTCCCCCTCTAATTATTATTATGATTATTATTATTAATTTGTTCTGTAAATGTGTTATGCCATGTTATTATCATTTTACATCGTTGGTGTTTTACAAGTTAGGATAATATATACATTTAAAAGAAGAGTGTTGTTTGCTGTATTTGTAAGTGCACAACTTTTGAAATTGTTATGCCTCCGCCACCGAAGGTGGTGCCGGAGGCATCATGTTTTCGGGTTGTCCGTCCGTACGTCCGTCCGTCCGTCCGTACGTCCGTCCGTCCGTACGTCCGTCCGAGTTTGCGATGGTATGCTTGTGTGTTTAGTTTTACGTATGAGATATCCTTGTGTGTCACTTTAGACTTGTGTGTCTAGCCACACAAGAAAACTATCATATTCAGTGTCTAAGATGTCTGACATGTCATTTCTAATCAACTAAGATTTAGTCACACAAGAAAAAAATTTCCCCAAAAAAGGCCCAAAATAAATGTCCAAATTTTAGAGAGGGGTTGTGTCCAAGTAGCCAAACGGAATAGTGCCATCTACAGTTGACATCCAGGTAGCTAGGTACTATGCGCATCTACAGTACTTGTGTGTGTGTGTGTGTGACTTGCTAGTGTGTAGTATTTGTAAGCAAAGTAGTAGGCAGTGTAAGGCTCTGTGTATGTGTGTGTCATGGGTGGATGGTTTTGTGTGTGCAGTGTATATAATACATGTAATGTTTTTTTATGCCACACAAGCCTTAATTTTCTTGAATTGGACAGGGGTAGACAATAATGTCGTTCTGCCACACTAGCCTTAATTTTCATGACTTGGACAGAGGTATATAATACATGTAATGTCTTTCTGCCACACAAGCCCTAATTTTCTTGACTTGGACAGGGGAAGATAATAATGTCTTTCTGACACACAATCCTGAATTTTCTTGACTTGGACTGGGGTAGATAATAATGTCTTTCTGCCACACAAGCCTCTATTTTCTTGACTTGGACAGGGGTAGACAATAATGTCTTTCTGCCACACAAGCCTTAATTTTCATGACTTGGACTGGGGTAGATAATAATGTGTTTTAGCCACACAAGCCCTGATTTTCTTGACTTGGACAGGGGTAGACAATAATGTGTTTCTGCCACACAAGCCTTAATTTTCTTGACTTGGACAGGGGTAGACAATAATGTCGTTCTGCCACACAAGCCTTAATTTTCATGACTTGGACAGAGGTATAATACATGTAATGTCTTTCTGCCACACATGCCCTAATTTTCTTGACTTGGACAGGGGAAGATAATAATGTCTTTCTGACACACAAGCCTTAATTTTCTTGACTTGGACTGGAGTAGATAATAATGTCTTTCTGCCACACAAGCCTTAATTTTCATGACTTGGACAGAGGTATATAATACATGTAATGTCTTTCTGCCACACAAGCCCATTATTTTCTTGACTTGGACTGGGGTAGATAATGCCTTTCTGCCACACAAGCCCTAATTTTCTTGACTTGGACAGTGGTACAGGTATATAATACATGTAATGTTTTTATGCCACACAAGCCTTAATTTTCTTGACTTGGACTGGGGTAGACAATAATGTTTTTCTGCCACACAAGCCTTAATTTTCTTGACTTGGACTGAGGTAGATGACAATATCTTTCTGACACACAAGCCTTAATTTTCATGACTTGGACAGAGGTAGACAATAATGTCTTTCTGCCACACAAGCCTTAATTTTCTTGACTTGGACTGGGGTAGATGACAATATCTTTCTGACACACAAGCCTTAATTTTCATGACTTGGACAGAGGTATATAATACATGTAATGTTTTTTTATGCCACACAAGCCCTAATTTTCTGGACTTGGACAGGGGTAGACAATAATGTCTTTTTGCCACACAAGCCTTAATTTTCTTGACTTGGACAGGGGTAGATAATAATGTCTTTCTGTCACACAAGCCTTAATTTTATTGACTTGGACTGGGGTAGATGACAATATCTTTCTAGCAACACAAGCCTTAATTTTCTTGACTTGGACTGGGGTAGACAATAATGTCTTTCTGCCACACAAGCCCTAATTTTCTTGACTTGGACAGTGGTACAGGTATATAATACATGTAATGTTTTTATGCCACACAAGCCTTAATTTTCTTGACTTGGACTGGGGTAGACAATAATGTCTTTCTACCACACAAGCCCTAATTTCTTGACTTGGACTGGGGTAGATAATAATGTCTTTCTGCCACACAAGCCTTAAATTTCATGACTTGGACAGGGGTAGACAATAATGTCTTTCTGCCACACAAGCCTTAATTTTCTTGACTTGGACTGGGGTAGATGACAATATCTTTCTGACACACAAGCCTTAATTTTCATGACTTGGACAGAGGTAGACAATAATGTCTTTCTGCCACACAAGCCTTAATTTTCTTGACTTGGACTGGGGTGAATGACAATATCTTTCTGACACACAAGCCCTAATTTTCTTGACTTGGACAGGGGTAGACAATAATGTCTTTCTGCCACACAAGCCTTAATTTTCTTGACTTGGACAGGGGTAGATAATAATGTCTTTCTGCCACACAAGCCTTAATTTTCTAGACTTGGACTGGGGTAGATGACAAAATCTTTCTAGCAACACAAGCCTTAATTTTTTTGACTTGGACTGGAGTAGATAATAATGTCTTACTGCCACACAAGCCTTAATTTTCATGACTTGGACAGAGGTATATAATACATGTAATGTCTTCCTGCCACACAAGCCCATTATTTTCTTGACTTGGACTGGGGTAGATAATAATGCCTTTCTGCCACACAAGCCCTAATTTTCTTGAATTGGACAGTGGTACAGGTATATAATACATGTAATGTTTTTATGCCACACAAGCCTTAATTTTCTGGACTTGGACTGGGGTAGACAATAATGTTTTTCTGCCACACAAGCCTTAATTTTCTTGACTTGGACTGGGGTAGATGACAATATCTTTCTGACACACAAGCCTTAATTTTCTTGACTTGGACAGAGGTATATAATACATGTAATGTTTTTTTTTATGCCACACAAGCCCTAATTTTCTTGACTTGGACAGGGGTAGACAATAATGTCTTTCTGCCACACAAGCCTTAATTTTCTTGAATTGGACAGGGGTAGACAATAATGTCGTTCTGCCACACTAGCCTTAATTTTCATGACTTGGACAGAGGTATATAATACATGTAATGTCTTTCTGCCACACAAGCCCTAATTTTCTTGACTTGGACAGGGGAAGATAATAATGTCTTTCTGACACACAATCCTGAATTTTCTTGACTTGGACTGGGGTAGATAATAATGTCTTTCTGCCACACAAGCCTCTATTTTCTTGACTTGGACAGGGGTAGACAATAATGTCTTTCTGCCACACAAGCCTTAATTTTCATGACTTGGACTGGGGTAGATAATAATGTGTTTTAGCCACACAAGCCCTGATTTTCTTGACTTGGACAGGGGTAGACAATAATGTGTTTCTGCCACACAAGCCTTAATTTTCTTGACTTGGACAGGGGTAGACAATAATGTCGTTCTGCCACACAAGCCTTAATTTTCATGACTTGGACAGAGGTATAATACATGTAATGTCTTTCTGCCACACATGCCCTAATTTTCTTGACTTGGACAGGGGAAGATAATAATGTCTTTCTGACACACAAGCCTTAATTTTCTTGACTTGGACTGGAGTAGATAATAATGTCTTTCTGCCACACAAGCCTTAATTTTCATGACTTGGACAGAGGTATATAATACATGTAATGTCTTTCTGCCACACAAGCCCATTATTTTCTTGACTTGGACTGGGGTAGATAATGCCTTTCTGCCACACAAGCCCTAATTTTCTTGACTTGGACAGTGGTACAGGTATATAATACATGTAATGTTTTTATGCCACACAAGCCTTAATTTTCTTGACTTGGACTGGGGTAGACAATAATGTTTTTCTGCCACACAAGCCTTAATTTTCTTGACTTGGACTGAGGTAGATGACAATATCTTTCTGACACACAAGCCTTAATTTTCATGACTTGGACAGAGGTAGACAATAATGTCTTTCTGCCACACAAGCCTTAATTTTCTTGACTTGGACTGGGGTAGATGACAATATCTTTCTGACACACAAGCCTTAATTTTCATGACTTGGACAGAGGTATATAATACATGTAATGTTTTTTTATGCCACACAAGCCCTAATTTTCTGGACTTGGACAGGGGTAGACAATAATGTCTTTTTGCCACACAAGCCTTAATTTTCTTGACTTGGACAGGGGTAGATAATAATGTCTTTCTGTCACACAAGCCTTAATTTTATTGACTTGGACTGGGGTAGATGACAATATCTTTCTAGCAACACAAGCCTTAATTTTCTTGACTTGGACTGGGGTAGACAATAATGTCTTTCTGCCACACAAGCCCTAATTTTCTTGACTTGGACAGTGGTACAGGTATATAATACATGTAATGTTTTTATGCCACACAAGCCTTAATTTTCTTGACTTGGACTGGGGTAGACAATAATGTCTTTCTACCACACAAGCCCTAATTTCTTGACTTGGACTGGGGTAGATAATAATGTCTTTCTGCCACACAAGCCTTAAATTTCATGACTTGGACAGGGGTAGACAATAATGTCTTTCTGCCACACAAGCCTTAATTTTCTTGACTTGGACTGGGGTAGATGACAATATCTTTCTGACACACAAGCCTTAATTTTCATGACTTGGACAGAGGTAGACAATAATGTCTTTCTGCCACACAAGCCTTAATTTTCTTGACTTGGACTGGGGTGAATGACAATATCTTTCTGACACACAAGCCCTAATTTTCTTGACTTGGACAGGGGTAGACAATAATGTCTTTCTGCCACACAAGCCTTAATTTTCTTGACTTGGACAGGGGTAGATAATAATGTCTTTCTGCCACACAAGCCTTAATTTTCTAGACTTGGACTGGGGTAGATGACAAAATCTTTCTAGCAACACAAGCCTTAATTTTTTTGACTTGGACTGGAGTAGATAATAATGTCTTACTGCCACACAAGCCTTAATTTTCATGACTTGGACAGAGGTATATAATACATGTAATGTCTTCCTGCCACACAAGCCCATTATTTTCTTGACT